AACCACTGGGTTATTGTTCAATAATGGTTCCTATTTTACAGGCTTATCAAGTGGGATTTTATGTGAAATCAGGATCTGAGAAGTAACTTGTTATGAGTTTGAATTGTTCCTCAGAAATGTTTCAGAGGAAACATGCAGAAAATGGAAATTCTCCAGCAGCAAAAATGCCTCAAAATGCCCCGTCGTCCTACTGAGACAGATGAATGGTGAATGGCATAATGGCGGTCTGACTTTCTTGCCAAATCGGACTCTGTTTAATTACACTGGCCAGTGAGTGGAAAGATAGACGGAAGGAAGGACTGAGGGAAGGAAGAACAGTTGGAGGGCAGGTCGTGGGAACAGACACTTGTGCCCAGGGGACACACAAAAAACGCACAGACCCACACACACAAATGTCCTCTGAAATCCAGCCTGCACATGAAATATCAATTCTATTTATGAGTGGTCTATATTTGTAGTTCCTGACCCATTTGTGTGTGTGTGTGTGTGTGTGTGTATGTGTGTGACTCTAGGCACAGTTGGTCTCTGGGAATCTCCGAACAGACAAACACTATAGTGCTGGTATCCTATGTGGGAAACCAAAAGTCCACTGGTCAGTCAGGGGAAATCCCCTCATCACAGAAGTACAAATTAATTCATCTTCATTTCATCCATTTACAACTGTAATTAACCTCTGATGGATCCACATTATTAATATGACTGTACAACTTTGTGATCTATTCAGGATATATTCAAACATTAAAGTTAATACTAGAAAACTTATATTAAACTGTATCCTCTATGTAAATTATAGATTTTCTTTGCACAAAGCAGAAAATAAAAATGCATAAGCATACGTATTGTGTTGTTTGGTTTTAGCAAACCTCAGTTATTATTCTACATGGTTTTTAACAAACGTCTATTATCAAGAAAAATATATAAGCTGATTTTTTCCAGAATGGCCATGTCAACCCTCCCTTCTGCATTTTCAGTAAACTACTTTTGGCTACATCTCATTGTCCTTCTTGCCTCCGAGCCAATCACCTGCACCTCCCAGCCTGTCCCCACCAATCACACCCAAGTACTCTATCTTGACTTGGAAGGTTATTGACAGTATTGATTAACTGATGGATAACTCATTAGTCTCATTATTGACAAACACACAGCCTGTGACATACAGTTAGATACCGCCGTCACCACTGCCGCTCTGACAAAGTTATAGAAATATTTGATAGGTGGGACTAAAAATTCTTAATCACAAAGCAGATATTTTGTTGTTGATGCAACGGACGTGTCATAACCTGACCCTGAGAGAGCTTCATTCATTATTAACAGGAGAGGTTGTGGACAAAGTGGCACTTCCCTTTAAAGCATGTTTTCATCCAGTGCTGCTCAAACTGAGTGAGCAATTGGATGCTCATTGCTCCTCTTAAGGAAACTGACATAAAAAGTTGATGGCTGCACATTAACTGTTGCACAGTTCATATTCAAGATCCTGTCCACACAGAGTAAAGGGACTTCTGTATGTCCACTTGTCAGGGTGACGCACATACAGTAGCAGCAAAGGAAAACGTGTTTTTTAGTTAAATGTACAGACTTACAGTCACTGCAGGGCTGCTCGTCAAACTCGTCCAAAACTCCAAAAGGCAAAAGAGCAAAGTTGACTTCTAATGGTGAGCAAAACTGTAACACTGGTTAAACAAAACTGTAAACATGAACGGGTAACCTGACCACGACAAAGGGGATCAAGGGGACTATGGATGCAGGGTTAATTGAACACAGGTGTCACTAATGAAGACAGGTGCAGATGAAGGGGCAGGACATGGGACAAAGACAGGAACACAAAGCAAGAGATGCACAAGGAAGGACATTGCAAAATAAAACAGGTGGCAAAGAACTGAGAGTGCAAACAAATAACCAAACATAAATCCAGAAATCCAAACGCAAGGAAAACAACATAACATAAAAAAATCCCAGAAAACAGTAAAATATTTCAAAAAAGGTCCAACACAGTCTTTCATAAGTTCCCAAAAGGGAAGAATCATGACAACTGAGGACGCTGTGTCCCCTCAGGTGCCCTTGAATAGAACTTGATACGTTAAACTGAAAAGGGAGATTCATCGTCAGGTGATGCAAACCATGTTGTGGAATATGGGTATGTCTGATGTGGATTTCAAGAACTAACAGTCCTGAGAGTCCTGTCCCTGTATCAGTTACTGCTCTGTCCTTGAGTAGTAATTTTCCAAGCGGGAAGGATACGTCTCACTTTTGAATCTGATAGTGGATATATACAGTGTTGAATAAAATGCATCTGAATGAGCAAGAGGAAGACGTTCCAGGGCAGAGCATTAACACACGGATGCAGCGGCAAAAAGAAAGTGTGTTAACCACTGAACATGCAGGAAACATGGCCTTGTTAACTGCACCATTATAAACTTTGGACTCTGCTCAAAACTGCCTTAACTGGGTTGTAAGGCACTAAAATAAATGCTTTAAATTGATTCGCATTTGCTTATGTGTGCGCTTCTTTGTCACCCAAGTTATTTCTATATGTGTTGTAAGATGACACGAGGGTTTCTACAGAAATCAAGAGAGAAATGTCTCCCGAACTGTCCACACAATGCACAATTCAGTGATTCCTTTTGAAGAGAAATGTGCACTATAATTAATTTGTATTTCCTTTAGTTAGGAGTATGTGTCACGTGGTGTAACTGCTCTTTTCTAGGCTTTCTCCTCCCATTAAGACAAGACCTTAAGGTGATATTTTCAAACGCACACTGATGCATTCCTGCTTTCAGATTAACACCAGCTCCTGCAGTAAATGAACAGGGGGAGGATTCTGTTTTATCCATTATCCAGCCCTTTAGTTCCCCCTAGTGCATTTGAAGAGAAATGTAAGTGAAACAGGGAAACATAAGTCGTAATCAGTGTTTACGTTGCAAAGCAGTCAGATGTATAAATAATAAAAACAGAGATGGACGAGATATATCAGCTGCTTACTTATATGGAGAGAAGAGACAGCTACAAAATAGGCTCATAAAGAACATCTATATAATGCCCATTTAGTCTATTCAAAATTTTGGACTAAACTTTTATTGCTCACTTTTCAGGCTTTATACCCAGAATCGCTGACCTGCTGTGTGCTCTGTAGATCTGCAGATGGAGCTCATGATGGTTACACCCAGGTCTTACCGAGCTTTTGCCATTAGAGCCCCCACATTATGGAATCCATTGCACGTCGACTAATTTTCAAACATCTTTTAAACCTCTGCTTCAAACTTTTATTTTTGTGAAAGCTTTTGCACATGATTGAAATCGACTTTTACATACACTGTCTATGAGTCTTTATTTGTTTTCATATATATTTGATCTATTTTCTGAGTTCATTTTGTGTGTCTGATATGGATTCTGTCTTTAAAGCACTTTGTAACTTTGAAAAGTGCTAAATAACAGATTTACAATAATAACGACAATAATAAGCACCATTTATGGAAGTAAATCTGACGAGACAGATTTACCTCCATAACATCACAATA